ATGGTGAGTACATGGTTCTTCTGTGGAGATGCTGGGAGGGTGATAGGCGAGAACATTCTCTGGGTGGGCCGGGCTCAGAGCCTCTAAGAGCAGACCGGTCTGAGCATTTGTGTGGCAGATGGAACTGCCGGCTGCCCTCTGATGCCCCCAGCCCCTCATAAAGTCAACTCTACCTTAAAAAAACCAAAACCAAAACCAAAATGGCTAGCCTAGATCGTCCAAACCACTCCCACAGGTTAGGTGAGTTGGTGTCTGTTCCAGTGCTTCGGTGCCTTTACAAATTCTGCCACAGAGCATTGTCTACCCATTTAGTGGTATTTGGTGACATTAGTCATCTGCAACCCTTTTTTTTTTTTTTTTTTGAGACGAAGTCTCACTCTTGTCACCCAGGCTGGAGTGCAGTGATGCGATCTTGGCTCACTGCAACCTCCACCTCCTGAGTTCAAGTGATTCTCCTGCCTCAGCCTCCTGAGTAGCTGGGATTACAGGCGCCCACCACCACACCAGGATAATTTTTGTATATTTAGTAGAGACAAGGTTTCCCCATGTTGGCCAGGCTGGTCTCAAACTCCTGACCTCAGCGTACCAACGTTCTAGGATTACAGGCATGAGCCACCGTAGCTGGCCTGCAAACTTTTTTTTTTGAGATGTAGTCTCACTCTGTCCCCAGGCTGGAGTGCAGTGGTGTGATCTCAGCTCACTGCAACCTCCGCCTCCTGGGTTCAAGCAATTCTCCTGCCTCCACCTCCCCGGTGGCTGGGATTACAGGTGCCCACCACCATGCCCGGCTAATGTTTTGTTGTCTTTTTTGTAGAGATGAGGTTTTCCCGTGTTGGCCAGGCTGGTCTCGAACTCCTGACCTCAAGTGATCCGTCTGCCTTGGCCTCCCAAAAGTGCTGCGATTACAGCCACTGTGCCTGGCCTACAATCTCTTTATAATGCTTTGGTTTGTTTTTTCCATTAAAAGAAGAATGAATTATGCCCGGTATGCAGGTTAAACAATTCTGCAGTCAGGAAAACCTGAGATTTGGAGCTGGGCTCCTGTAAACGTACGGTGATAGTTCCGTGGCAAGCTGAGACCGCCCGGTGGCCTGGCTGGGTCTGTGGCTGTGGCCATGAGGGCCCAGGGCTTCCTGTCGGCTCTTACCTTTTTTTCTGTTTCCTGCCAACAGATGTTGCCTTTATCACCACCGTGGCCTTCCTGTGGAAAGTGTCGGCGATCACCGTGGTCAGCTGCCTCCCGCTGTATGTCCTCAAGTACCTGAGGCGCAAGCTGTCTCCGCCAAGCTACTGCAAGCTGGCCTCCTAAGGGGTTGTGCACCCCCAGCGGGCTGGTCCCAGCACCTTCTGCCCTTTCCAGTGAACACCGGGTTTGCCATTGCTACCAAGCGAGCACCACGAGAAAGGGAGGGTATGCCAGGCGAGCCCAGGGCACCGATGCCGGGACGGCCTGTCCCTCTCAGTGCAGGGACGTCAGCCCTGCCAGGCGAGCCCAGGGCACAGATGCCAGGATGGCCTCTCCCTCTCAGTGCGAGACTTCACCCCTGCTAGGCGAGCCCAGGGCACAGATGCCAGGACGGCCTCTCCCTCTCAGTGCGAGACTTCACCCCTGCTAGGCGAGCCCAGGGCACAGATGCCAGGACGGCCTCTCCCTCTCAGTGCGAGGCTTCACCCCTGCTAGGCCAGCCCAGGGCACAGATACCAGGACGGCCTCTCCCTCTCAGTGTGGGGCTTCACCCCTGCTTTTCTTTCTTCTTTTGTGTTTGTCAAAATCCTATTTCCATATTGAAGCAGCTTGAGTTTCTACTGAAAATGAGCCCGAATTATTTTACTGTTACTGTAAAGGGTTTATCTTACTCTGGCATTCTAAGAATTAGAATGAAAGTTTAATTTCTGCAATTCCCTAACATTCACATTCTTTCTTTGATGTTATAATACACAGTCATTCCTACTCAAATGTAATAAAATTGAGGCTCCACGGAGGCCCGTGTCCACACCAGCTGCAGCTCCTGCTCAGACAGACGGCCTGCCCTTTGCTGAAGACACCTCGCTTTATACTCGCATTTCGCTTTTCAGTAAAAACACTCGAGTCACTGAGTTCTCACATAAAGAGCTGTTCTCACACGCTCTGAAGGCAAGTCGTACAAACAGTGGTGTTTCCGAACACAATTCCATTGCAGCCACCAGCGTAAATCATTGCCCAGAGACTTTGCTGCTAGCACGCGTGTCCTTCCCATCCTTTTTATATTTGCACAATCACACTCGAACACCATTTCTATAGGTAGAAATCAGCTGTCCTGTAAAACTCACATCCCCTAAGATAGCTCACTTGCCTGGTCATGGGAGTTTACTTGGTTGGAAACACGCACCAGTTGAGATGATGAAAGCCTGTGCGGCTGCCACGCTGCATTCATGGTGTCGCCCAGCCAGACCTTGCTTCTGTGACACTGGGAAGGTTCTTGGGGCCAGGAGTTCATTTCCTCAACTGTGTCCTGTGCCTGGGGTGTTCCTCGAAACCGGTGTGTTGTGCCGCCTGCAGCAATGCCCCTTCTTGGAGGCCTCAGCAGAAGTCGGTCAAACACCAGGCCTCTTGGTTCAAAGGAGAGTTTCTCTGTATTTTCCACGCAGGCGCCGCAGCCTCTGCCAGGAGTTTCACCTGTTCATTTTCCGCGTCGTTTCCCATCAAAGTGGGCCCTGTCACCTGAAATCCTGGCCGCGCTGTGTGCGTGGGGCTCCAAGGGCATTTCACCAACCAGCGGAGGGGCTGCCCAGCACCCACCTACCGTCCCCCGCAGCTTTGCGGAGGAGAAAATAGCCGCAGAGAGCAATGAAGCTGCCCGTCTTCCCCATACACAACAGGCCTTTTGAATGGAATTCCTGGGTCATCTGTCCTGAGCGTTCTGAATTTCCAGACGGGCCTGGCCCTGCGAGGGTGCCATTTCCTGCGTCCCCACAAGGTGTCGCTGGAGTCCGCTCGGTGATCTGGGCGCGTCTGGTCGCTGCCGGAGGCTGCCTGGGATTTTCCCTTCTGTGCACCAAGTCGGTGTCGCCCGGGAGTCACGTCCTGGGGGGCTGACTTGGATTTTACGTGTCTTCATCGCTTCTGCCGGAGCAGTTTGCGTTGGGGGCGTTGGGACGGTAGAAATCTTAAGTCCCCAGCCAGCAGCCCAGGAGATGGGGTCACACGCTCGGGCCTCGGGGGTGGAGGCCAAGTGCAAATGAGAGGCTGCTCCCTCGTGCACCTGTACAAATAAACCACCCACCTGGGACACTAATAGACTGATAACATGGTCGATAACCTCAGAAAAGCTGCACCCCTGAGCCTTTGGGAGTAACACTGCAGTCCAGCTTTCAGATCAACGACCGGCCGTGGATCAGTTGGATCCTGATGAGGAGACGGTTGAAGACTCGTCTCAAGAAATCGAGACGTGTCAGGGGCAGGTGGAGACGGGAGGAGGGAGGGGTCTTTTCCCCCGTAAACGAAATCACCCCACGGGGGCTGCTGCTTGTGAGGGTTAAACGAGACGGACAGGGCGTTCCCGGCAGACGACGGGCAGCAAGGCAGTCGGAAGGGGTCTGTGACACGGATTCTCTGCTGGATTAAAGAAAATAACAGCCCACTAAAGGGTCATTAGATGGGCATTAGATCCAGTTCCAGCTCCAGTTCAGGAACCAGCTCTGAGGTCAGGCGAGAGGCTGTATTTCCACCGGCTGCCGGCTTGCGGTGTAACCTCTTTGCTTTTTAGGTTCTGGACCTGTGTCAGCCCCAGAAATTCTGAGCCGGCCGTACAGCCCCAGAGCCCTTCAGGAGGGTGCCCATCCTGGGGAGAGCATTCTGCGTGTCTGGAGTCGGCGGTGCTGCAGGAGGAGGAGCCGGTTCCTCCTTTCTGCGTGTGATGGGCAGCGTCCCCGAGCATCCAGTGCTGTGCTGGCCCCACGTTTCTAGGTTTACGTGTAGAGGCGTGACCCTCACGGTCCTGTCCGCCGCCCGGAATAGCTGGTCCCAGGGAGGTAAGTGCTGCGGAAGAACCAGCAGGGCCGGCAGCCTTGGGAGACTCCTTGGAAAGGGGAGGTTGGAGCCGAGGGCGGGAAGATACAAGCAAAGCCTGTCATCAGAGCAGCTCGTGCTCAGACCCGAGACTGCGGCCTGGTGCTCTGGGGTGATGAGAGCAGAGTGCCAGCGCCCAGCAGGGGCGGCAGGTGGGCGAGGATTCGCCACTGTTTTCCATAGTCTCATCCGATTCCAGGTCAGTGACGGCCATGCCTTGAGGGCCGCACTGCATTCCCGGAGCCCGTAAGTCCGTACCCCCGACAGCCACCAGTGCCTTCCTCTCCTGTGCAGGCCCAGCAGAGAAACCTGTAGCAAGACCCCGACATGGACCAAACAAGCTGGCCTTGCCTCCCTTCTGTGACGGTCACGGGCAGGCCCAGGTGCACCCTTCCTAGGGTCAGGGACTCCGCTGGGGTCACCACCTCCAAGGCCCCCCTGGCACAACTGAGCAAGCCACTCGGTCCCACTCAGGAGCAGCCTCCCCTCCCCGCCCAGTCCCCAGCACGTAAGTCCTGGGCCGTGGAGGGGACACCAGGCACCCCCCCCACCCCGGGCTGCGGGTCCTGCTACTGCAGACGGCTGTCATTTCAGGCGGTTCCAGAAGGGGGAGCCAGAAGCCACGAAATGGCACCTGCGAGGCCACCTGGGCCGACATCCCGGCTCCAGCTCGCATTTTGGGGGTTAGAGAAGCTGATAGCTTGGGGATTCCTCTGAATATGGTGTCCTGTTGAGCACCAGCAAGCAACCCCTGAAACGGGGTCCCCAGGAAAGCCAGTTTGCTCTCGCTGAAGAGGTTCCTCCCGTCCCGCGGGCGCTTGTACACAGGAGGTGTTACCTGTGTCTGGACGGGGGGAGTGTACCCCGTGGAGGGCTGCAGGGCAGCCTCAGCTCCCACCACCCGTCCCAGGTGCTGGTCGGCCCCTCGGGTGGGCCTGGGGACCATGGCCGAGCAGAAGCCCGGGAGGAAGGGGGTCCTCGTGCCAGTTCTGCCGAGTCCTCAATGCTCAGGCTAACAACAGGATTTTCCAAAATGGATTGTCCTGCGCCTGTGGGCCTGGAAGAGAATCCAGAAATTCTCCAGCCCCACCTCTGCCTAGGTCCTGAGAGTTCTGGGCCGGAAGGCTGCAGGCACTGAGCTCATCTGCGCTGGGGGTGGACATCGCCCGGGTTGTGACCCGAGATGCGAACAGAAGCGCTGGGGTCCAGATCTAGAAAGACGAGGCCAGCATAGACCATGTCCTGGAAGAGACACGTGGCCTTTGGAATCTCCGCCCCTCATTAAGGAAGAGAGGGAGGCCCTGAGATCAGGCATCACTGCAAGTCGGAAATCTGGATTTTTAGGTGAAGTGTCCGTTTTAAAATTGGGCTCCCAGCACTTGTTGCTGTCATTGGGTTGCCTGGGAGACTGTGCAGGGCAGCCGAGGGGGCACCGTCTGCCGTGGCTGGTTCCCCCGTCACCACAAGGTCAGCCTCAGACCTTCTCCCTGTCCCGAGAGGCCCTCTCACAGCTTGCCTCAGTTTCTCCCTGGGGTCAAGCACAGCTGTGTTTGCAGGTGGGGAGCCAGCAAGCTTCTTGCCCTGGAGGAATGGGATGTCGTGATTCTCACTGATTCCCTCGAGGAGACCTTTCCTCGGAGGTTGCCCCGTGTGGAGCAACCCCTGGCCCTGTAGACCCTGTGTTCCTTCCTCAGGGCATCCTGCTGGGGTAAGGCCTGGCCGGATGAGGACTCCTGACCTCCCCCATGGGCCCCGGGGAAAGACAAGCAAAACAAGGGCCATCCCGAGTGTGCCTCGCTTCTCCCACCTGCAGCTGCCCCAGGCCAGGCTATGCAGAAGAGCTGGGGCCACGAGAAGGAGCTGCACCACCAGCTTCCATCGCAGGTGCCCGCCGCCCTCAGGGACACTTTTAATTGTCTGCATTTCAGTTTGTCTCTAACGGGTCCAGTTGTAGTTCCTCAGAAGTTGTAAACCTAACATTCACTGCCTGTAGGTGCTGGGGAGAAAATACTGTCCATTCTCCTAGCTGAAGGTTTGTTCCTGTGCCCACACCATGTGTCCAGCACAATCACAGGAAGCACCCCGCCAGGAGAAGGAGAATCCGCGAGAGCTCCCACGTTATCCTCACAGTAGTTTTGGCATCCATGTACAATCTCCGGGCTCTGAGACTGCCCTCTTCACTTCCATTGGCCATGGGGAGCACCGTGCAGACAGTGGGGTTAACCGGGGTCCCGGGCCACATGTTGATGCTGACTCCCAGGCACAGATGCTCGTGCGGACCCTGCAGGGCTGGTGGTCAGGGGCTGTGGGTGCCCAGTCCAGAATGCGCCAGGCTTCCAGGCCACTTCACCCTGCTTCTCTCCTGCTGACCCGCCGGGATGCACCAGGCTCCCGGGCCAGCCTGCCCTGCTCCTGTCCACCCTGCTCCTGTCCCCCTGCCGTGTGTCCTCTTGACCTGAGCCTCGGCTTGTCCAGCTGGGGCCGTCCAGGTGGGAGTAACTGTCTAGATGAGAAAATGAGAGAGAGAACCAGGTCCACAGGACAGGAGCAGGGGGCCAGTATGGGGACATCACGGCCACGGTCGCCTTACCAGGGGCACTGGCTGTCTCTGGCTCTGCCTGTTTCTAGGAACTACCTGGACTGATGCCATCCACGGTCCCCTGTGAAAATTCTTGCTGCGTCCTCTGGGCTCTGTGCCTTCACCTGGGGACAAGGCCCTCCCCTTGGCCTCCTTGAGTCCCCCCTAATTTGTGACAAAATGAGAAGAAACAAAAGGCAGTAAGAGGAGAGCGGGGTGGGCCGGGACAGAATCGGGCCCTGGGCTGCACCGTTATCGCTTGTCTCTCAGCTTTCAGTGACCTGAGGACCAGGAGCCCAGACCCAGTGTGGGGACTGTGCAGGGGGCCCAGCCAGGGGCGGGAGCTATGGGGGCAACTGTGCCAGGGAACCAGCAGAGACGTGGCTGACGGTACAGTTCGGCTGAGAGCTGTGGAGCTGTGCACTTAGGGAAACCCAGGCATCCCTGACGCGACTCACGGGGCTGGGTGAGCAGGGACGCGCCGGCAGCAGGTGAGTTGTGGGGCCTGGGGACCAAAGCCAGCCTCCCTGGCTGTGCAGGGGTGGGAACCTTGCAGGGCTGGGGCACAGGAAACCTGAAATGCTGAAACCTAAGCACAGCCTGCGTTGGAAAGCCCGTCCTGGGCTGGTCTGGGCATCCCAGTCCTGGGTCACGCCCACCTGCACCCATGGGGCTGCAGCCTCTCCTCTGGGGCCCGACTTGGTTGCTTCGGCCCTTCCAGGCCCTCCCCGGGCCCTGCCCCAATCCACAGGCCACCCATGGGTTCTGAAACGCCCCTCAGTGTGGACTCATGAAGACAGACTGTCCCCTGCAGCCCTTCCCAGAGCCTGCAGTTCGGGCCCCACACAAGTTCTCAGGAGCACTGCGGGGCAGCGGTGACAAGGAGGTGTCCGCCCCACTGCAGATCGCCCAGAGCCCACAGCCACCCAGATCATGCACTGTGGGATCCGCAGGTGTGTTGGTCCCAGGTGTCCAGGCTGGCTGGTCACTCAGCTGCACACCTCTGCAGCCCCGTGACAGTCACACCGCTCAGGAGGGGACACCCCAACCTGCAGCCCCCTGGCAGGCCACCCTCCAGGCCTAGGCCAGACCCATGGCAAGGAGGGGGGCACCCTGCTGGCCCCCGCCCCAGCCTCTGAGGACTATAAACCTGAGAACACAGGAGTGATGAGGGAGGTCCCTCAGCAGCGACCAGACACCACACTTGCCGGGGGCAGAGAGAGAGAGAGGGGCAGACACAGGAGGGGAGTGGAGAGAGAAAGGGAGAGGCAGATACAGGAGGGGAGTGGAGAGAGAAAGGGAGAGGCAGATACAGGAGGGGAGTGGAGAGAG